AAAAAAGGGAAAAGGAAAAAAAAGAAAAAAAAGGAAAAGAAAAAAAAGGGAAAAATACCAAAAAAGGGCAAAAAAAGAAGAAAAAATAAAAATAGGGAGGGGAAAATAAATTTAAAAAGGAAAATAATAGAGGGGGGGAAAAAGGGAATTCTCTCGCACGCCTCGGAGCTGCTAAACTTTATTTCCAACTTTAAATCCCGACGTTTTATTGGTGTTTAGCAACTTTCCCCCCCAAAAAAAAACACCAAAAATGAAAAATAAAATTAAAAAAACCAACAAAAAACTCCCTGGGCTTCCTCTTGGCAAAAAGGGGGGAAAATGGGGGGGAAAAAAAGAAAAAAATTTGAATTTTAAGCGTTGGGTTCCTTTGTGGCGGGTTTGAGCTCCTTTTTTGTCTCCGGCGTGAAAAGTTGATTTTTTTTCTTCTGTTTTGGGGTTTTTTTGGGTGTTTTTTTTTGGTGTTTTTGGTATGGGTTTTTTTAAAAAAAAAATTTAATCTGTATTTTGCCGATTTGTTGAGAGATCCCAAATTAGCAACGAGCCCGGAGGAGGAGGAGGAGGAAAAAAGGAGGAGGGGAAGAGGAGGAGGAGGAGGAAGCGAATTCCTGAGCGAGCGTGGAGGGGAGAAAAAAAAATAAAAGAAAAATTTAAAAAAATAATTAAAAAAAAATTAAAAAAAATAATTCAAAAAATTCTTTCCCCGCTGATCCCAAAAGAATCCCTGTGGGATTTCCCCTTTTTATTCAGCACCAAAAAAAAAAAAATTAAAAAAAAATCCAAATTTTCCAACCCAATCGCGCAGAATTTCCTCAAGGGAATTTATCCAAAAATCAAGGAAAAAAATCCCAACTTCTTTGTTCCCAAAAAAAGGGGTTTGGGAACGGGCAAAATGATTAAAAAAATCCGATTTTTTTTCCAGCGGCGCTGAAGATTTCCTGGGAATGTTGGGGTTAAATTCGCTTTTCCACGCCAGAGCCATTTTATTTTACCTTTGGGTTGAGCCCGGCCGCGAGGGAGGAGCGGAGCGAGGAGGAAAATTCGGAATTTTTTGGGGATTTTTGGTTTTTTTGGGCCTTTTTCCAAGAGATCCCCCCCCGCCAAAAAAAAAAAAAAAGTCCCAAATCTTCAAGAATTCGCCCCAAAAAATAAAAATCCCCAGGGGGGGAATTTGGGGGAGCAGCCCCGAGCGGAAGGGGGGTGGGGAGGAGTGGAGACGTCATTTCCCAGGAAATCTGGGAGGGCAAATTTTGGGAATTTTTTGGGGGAAAAAGGTGAAATTCCACTCGGGATTTCGCTGTAAGGACATAGAAACGAGTTCTATTTATAAATAGATTTATTTTAAATTTATATCTTCTATTGATACAGCGGTGGGCAGGGCACAGGCGGGAGGTGCTGCGCGAATAAATTCATTTTTCTCCCAAATAAACCCGGTTTTCTCCCAAATAAACCCGTTTTCCTCCCAAATAAACTCGTTTTTATCCCAAATAAACGCGTTTTAATTCCAAATAAACGCGGTTTTCTCCCAAATAAACTAATTTTAATATCAAATAAACTCATTTTGTCTCAAATTCCCGGCTCCGTGTCCCCTTCACCTCCCGGCTCATTCTTAGATTTTTTTTAATTATTATTATTTTAGGGTTTTTTGCTATTTTAGGTTTATTTTTACTTTTTTAGGTTTTTTTTAGGCCGGGAAGAGTGAAGGATTGGGATGTTCCAGGGTCCAACCCAGGGAACCCTGGGGAGGATTTTTTGGGGAAAGAGCTCGGCCAAAAATGGAAATTTCGGAATGTCTGAATATTAAAATATCCCAATATCTGAATATCTGAATATCAGAATATCGAAATATATGAATATCCACATATCCCAATATCTGAATATCCAAATATCCCAATATCTGAATATGGAAATATCTAAATATTGGGATATCAGAATATCAGAATATCCCAATATCTCAATATTATAATATCCAAATTTCTCAATATCTGATTATCCAAATATGCCAATATCTGAATTTCCAAATATCCGAATATCCAAATATCCCATTATCTGAATACCCCAATATCTGAATTTCTAAATATCTAAATATCTGAATATGGAAATATCTAAATATTGGAATATCAGAATATGCCAATACCTCAATATTAGAATACCAAATTTCTCAGTATTGGAATATCCAAATATTTGAATATCCAAATTTCTCAATATCCAAATTTCTCAATATCAGAATACCCAAATATCTGAATTTCCAAATATCTAAATATCTGAATATGGCAATATCTAAATATTGGAATATCAGAATATCCCAATATCTGAATATTAGAATATCCAAATTTCTCATTATTCGAATATCCAAATTTCTCAATATCTGAATATCCAAATATGCCAACATCTGAATTTCCAAATATCCAAATATCTGAATATGGGAATGTCGAAATAGT